AGATAGCATCTTCAAAAATGGTGCTGGTTTAACTGGATATCAACATGTAGAAAAATGCAAGTAGAACCATACTTACCACCCTGCACAAAACAAAAGTCCAAGTGGATCAAAGACATCAATATAAAAAAAAGACACACTAAACCTGTTGGAAGAAAAAGTGGAGAAGAGCCTTGAACTGACTGGCACAAGAGACAACTTCCTGAACAGAACACCAACAACACAGGCTTTAAGAGCAACAATCAATAAGTGGGACCTCATGAAACTGAAAGGCTTCTGTAAAGCAAAGGGCACTGTTGCCAAAACAAACGACAGCCTACAGATTTGGAAAGTATCTTTACCAACCTTATATCTGACAGAAGGCTATTATCTGGAATATTAACATGAAAAACTTAAGAAGTTAAAAAGCAACATATCAAGTAATCAAATTATAAAATGGGGTACAGAGTTAAACAGAGAATTCTCAATAGAGGAATATCGAATGGCAGAGAAACTCTTAAAGAAATGCTCAACATCCTTAGTCATCAGAAAAATGCAAATCAAAATGATCTTGAGATATCACCTCACACCCATCAGAATGGCTAAGATCAAAAACTCAAGTGACAACACATGCTGGAGAGGTTGTGGAGAAAGGGGAACCCCCCTCCATTGCTGGTGGGAATGTAAACTTGTACAACCACTTTTGAAATCAATCCGGTGCTTTCTCAGACAATTAGGAATAGTTCTACCTCAAGATCCAGCTATACCACTCCTAGGCATATATGTAACTATGCTCAAGTACACAACAAGGACATTTGCTCAACCATGTTCATAAGAGCTTTATTTGTAATAGCCAGAATCTGGAAACAACCCAGATGTCCTTCAATTGAGGAATGGATACAGAAATTGTGGTACATTTACACAATGGAATACTACTCAGCAATTTATACAAGGAAATCATGAAATTTGCAGGCAAATGGTGGGAAATAAAAAAGATCATCATGAGTGAGATATCCCAGAAACAGAAAGATACACATGGTATATACTCACTTATTAGTGGATATTAGACATATCTTATAGCATAATCATACTAAAATCTGTACACCTAAAGAAAGTATGCAAGAAATAGGACCCCGGGTAAGATGCTCAGTCCTCATTTAGGAAAGCAAAGAGGTTGGACATCAGATAGGGCAAAAACAAGGAACAAGACAGGAGCCTACAACAGAGGTCCTCTGGACGAGTCTACCCAGCAGTGTATTAAAGCAGCTACTGAGAGTCATAGCCAAACTTCGGGCAGAGTGCAGGTAATCTTATGAAAGAATGGCAAAATAGAAAGTCTTGGAGAGGACTGGAACTCCACAAGGAGAGCAACAGAACCAAAAAATCTGATCCCGTGTGTGTGTGTGTGTGTGTGTGTGTGTGTGTGTGTTTGTTTGTTTCTGAGACTGATACTCCAAACAAGGATCATTCATAGAGATAACCTAGAACCCCTGCACAGATGTATCCCATGGCAGTTCAGTCTCCAAATGGGCACCTCAGTAAGGGCAACAGGGGATGTCTCTGACATGAATTCAGTGTCTCAGTCTTTGATCATCTCCCACTGGGGGGGCAGCCTTACCAGACCACACAGGAAGACAATACATACTGTCCTGGTGAGACCTGATAAGCTAGGGTCAGAGGGAAGGGCAGGAGGACCTCTCCTATCAGTGGAAGAGGAATGGGAGGAGAAAATGGAGAGAGTGGAATTGAGAGAGAAGAAGGGAGGTTGCTACAGCTGGGATACAAAGTGAGTAAATTCTAATAAACAGCAACAACAAAATAAATTTAATTAAAAAATAATTAAAAGAAAGAAATGTCCCTGATAAATGCCTTAAAATTAAAAAGCCAATGTCTAAAAGTATCCAGTTGTTTCTTGGCTACATCCACAGGCATTCAGCATTTTCTGCACGCAACACAACGCAAGTCCTCAGAAGAATAGGACCTAACCTTGTGTTCACTGGACAAACTTAATGGAAAGCACATATCATTCATGTCCAATTAAGTAACATAGACCCTTATTCTGTTTCCACTGGAAAAGAACACTACATTGGGCTACCTGGCCTCAGAAACAGGAGCTAAGTTCTATTACCTGAATTATCCACCACAATTTCGCATTCATCAGTTGCTTTTCTAACTAAATTCTGTTATCAAATGGTACCACAAGAAACAGAAATCCTGCTGTTGTAGGAATTAAGAATTCAGGCTTACAAAAAATATGGTTTACATTTGTTCATGGTGCTTGCATCTTTAGTAAATTGCAACAAGAAGAAAATGCAGGGGACTACATTTTTAAAGAGAATTATGACATGACAATTATTAAATCACTGAAAGACTATATCAAAGAATGGATATAGCTACAGAGGTTATTTTTATGTAGTTCTATAATAAGACGGGAGAAAGGTGCCTCATTTCATGTGTAAATGGATAGGTAAATCTTACAGCAAGGAGCAGACTGAAGCTCAGCACATAGAAGATTGTTACAAAGCATGGGGTAAAGAAGATTCTGGTTGAGTAGACCTACTTGTCAATATAGATGTACAGAAGACACGTTCCTAACCTATCCCTCCATGATGCCCTTCAATGTAAAGTAATTGAGAAGTCATGCACTGTGAAGCTGAAATGAAATGTGGCTATGCTAGTGACTCACTGTGAATTGGGGAGGTATTCTAATGCTTGCTGTAAATGATTGAGCCCATAAATAGTACAAAGTAGTACATACGAAAGGAATATGTATATAGTAATGTGCATGTGGTACATTTCTGAACATACATACCTATGGCAAATGTATCAGATATGTAAGCTCAAGGCTTACCAAATGTAGACAGGACTAACAGAGCAGTGCAGCAAAAGCCTATATTGAAATAGTTCTGTCAGCACTCAGTAGAGTGAACACTGAAACTTCAGGATGTTTATTGCTGTAGCTGCAGATATGGTCACCTTGGTTTCTATATCACAAACTAGTACAAGATGGGCTACTGAAAAAAGGGAGTCACAACCCAAAACACTGCAGGGGGGATACCAGTACCATCACACTTCACAGAGTGGCAAAAAAAAAAAAAAAAAAAAAAGAAAGAAACTGGGTGAATTCATGTGAACTAAAAGTTTCAAATACAGATGTTTTCATATAACCTTTCAGAGAAGGATTGCTAGAACAGAAATTAAACTCTGCACATAAACCACAGCCAATGATGGAAGTGCATCCACCACAGAGAAGCCACTCATTCTTTTCACCTAGAACACTAGCACACTCAGTTCCGTCTTCATGATGAATACTGTGTTTGATCACAAAATTTCATTTTACAAGGTGGGACCTTTCGTAAGGAAACTAGTGGGGACTGCATTGGACATGGACTCACTTGCCAGCTTTTAAATCACCTTCCCCTGGTGAATGCCTTGCCAGCCAAAGGGGAAGTGAACATGCCCAGTCCTCATGCAACTTGGTGATCTGGGCAGGATGGGAAAGGAAGTTGTCCTTTTCTGAGAAAAGGGAAGGGGGAATGAAATGGAGAGAGGACAAGGAGGGGAGAAAGCATAGGACTAAAACAAAAATGTATAATGAATAAAAAATAAAAATGAGAAAAAATAGATACTTGATACTATATTTAAATTTTACTTTCATTCTTTTTTTTAGTATTTTTATTTTTATGTATTTTGTTAATTTGATTACTTAATAACATGTATTTTTTCTTTATTAATTACACTTTACTCACTTTGTATCCTCTCGTGGTTCCCTCCCTCCTCCCATCCCAATCCCTCCCTTCGTCCACCTCTGCCTGCATGCCCCTCCCCAAGTCCACTGATAGGGGAGGACTTCTTTTCCTTCCTTCTGATTCTAGTCAATTAGGTCTCATCAGGAGTGGCTGCATTGTCTTCTTCTGTGGCCTGGTAATGCTGCTTCCCCCTCAGGGGGAAGAAATTAAAGAGCAGGCCAATCAGTTCATGTCAGAGACAGTCCCTGTTCCTATTACAATGGAACCCACTTGGATACTGAACTGCCATGGGCTACATCTGTGCAGGGGTCTTAGGTTATCTCCATGCATAGTCCTTGGTTGGAATAGCAGTCTGAGGAAAGACCCCTGTGCTCAGTTTTTTTTTTTTTTTTTTTTTTTTGGTTCTGTTGCTCTCCTTGTGGGGTTCCTGTCCTCTCCAGGTCTTACTATTTCCCACTTCTTTCCTAAGATTCCCTGCACTCTGCCCAAAGGTTGCCCATAAGTCTCAGTAGCTACCACTCTTAGGCATATATCCAAAAGATTCTCAAGTACACAATAAGGACATTTGCTCAACCATATTTGTAGCAGCCTTATTTGTAATAGCCAGAAGCTGGAAACAGCCCAGATGTCCCTCAGTGGAGGAATGGATGCACAAATTGTGGTATATCTACACAACGGAATATTACTCAGCAATAAAAAAACAAGGAAAGCATGAAATTCGCAGGTAAATGGTGGGATCTGGAAAAGATCATCCTGAGTGAACTATCCCAGAAGCAGAAAGATGCACACGGTATATACTCACTCATATAGACATATAATATAGGATAAACCTACTAAAATCTGTACACCTAAAGAAACTAATCAAGAGGGAAGACTCTTGCTAAAATGCTCAATTCCTATCCAGAAAGGCATAGAGGCTGGACAATAGAAGAAGGAGAAAAGAGGGAACAAGTCAGGAGCCTGACACAGAGGACCTCCGAAAATCTCTGCCCTGCAGACTATCAATGTAGACACTTTCATTCTTTAAAGACATCATTTGGTACAGTGAAAAATAAAATCAAGTGATTACAAGAGTGTTTAATAAAAAAAATCAGTGCATAGCATCATTTATTAGCAGTGGCCATGTGTTAGTAGATTACTAATATCTGAGAATTCATGTTTTACCCTGGCTTTCTCATGACCCAAGTGTCTTTCACACACAGCAGGGGCTGGCCACATTAAAGATAAGGTTAATCTGTATATGTTGTTTTTTTCTATCCTGTTACCCAAGGCAGTTCACAATACTGGGTACATGGCATAGGAAGCAATTCCACAGTAGTTGTTCTGGTCTCTGGGAATCTTCATGTATCCTTTTTCACCCCATTCTTCACCATGGCTGAAAGAAATCAGGTTTTCCATTTAGTACAAAAGACAGAGCACAATTGATTGTTACAATAAATCTGCATTTGAGCATGGAGCCAAGACAAATTTAATAGATGGCATGAGAAAAGGCAGAAAACCAATGCTGGAATACCAAGAGTTGTTTCACAGAGGATAAGAAAAATTGTTGCAGGAAAAATTAAGAAATCTTTCCACCCACAGGTTGTTCAGAAACAACAAATTACAAATAGGAAATCAATGACACAAATATGATATTGCCCCCCAAGGAAACCAGTGTCAGAATCCAAACTCTGTGACTATATATTATATACTGGCTGTTCCAGACATAGAAAAATATTAGAGAGTAAAGCCAGCTAACACAAGAGTAAAGTCTAGAGCCTGAGTCCAAGTTCCACTTGTAGACAATTGAGGCTGCAGATATGATTCTGTGCCTAGTAGCTCTTGGAGCTCTTCCACAGGACAATAGTTTTTACCCAGCACCCATGTCAGTGAGCTCATAATCCCCTGTAACTAGAAATAAAAATAATGTGATGCCTTCTTCTGGTCTGCATGGGGTTCTGGCCTCAGCCACCATTTACTCATACAGTTAACCACACTTATAAACAAAGGACAGAAAGTTTTTAAAGTTATGGCCATTCAGTAATTGCATAAGCCAGGACATAACTGGATAACCAAACTGCCCAAAATAGACAACTCTATGAACAGTGACACTCACCACTTCGATTGATTAGGTGAAGATCAGCTTAGGAAGACAATTGAGATTAACATCAGATCTACACAGAGAAAAATCTCACAAATACACAACATATACATTTGAGAAAAAAAAAGAGGAAGAAAAGGAATAATTTGTCAAACTTAATTTTAACAATGCTTTCTGTGACTTGTATCTAAACTGCAAGTCTAAACAGAATGTCCATTTAAAACCTAAAATACAAATAATTTTAGCAATTTTTACCTGTTTTTTACCAGCCAATATTTCCTGCCTTCGGATTCTTGACCTTCATAGCCAAAACCAACCAACAGCACAGAATGGTTGGGAGAATCACGTTTGCAGTTTGGCTCATGATATATCCCTGAAAAATAAGATCAAGGATGTGAACTGCTCCAGGAACCTGATAGAGACCATGGTCAACAACAGTAAGTGAGACATTTTCTACTTGGACTGAAATGACAGAAGTTCTAGTAAAAATAAATATCATTGTTGACAGAAATCATGATACAAGTTTTCAACAAAATACAAAGAAATAAAAATGAAAATAACTTCATTGACAAACAATTTCTTGAATCCATGTAAGATGAATCTTTCACATCTTGTGTTTTTGCTAATAGACACCTCACTCCAAGACATCATAAATGAACATAAATACGTAATTCCAGGTGCTGTTTAGAGTTCAGTTCTTGAAAGACAATGATTCCATATCTGAAGATACACCCAGTGGAAAAAGTGGAGTAAATAAATCTAAACAATACTGATAAATAATGAAGTGCTCAGGTGCATTGGAATGTCATATCAAAACAAAACACTGCACTTGATCATTTCATAGACAAGTGTGAAATTCACAAAGTCTAATACTCACATCTAATTTTATACAATAATAGAGTATCAACCTGGCATGTCCCAAAGGGTCACAAGCAGTCTTCATTCATATCTAGAAGAACATATGTTTACCTCCTGTATATTTCATAAAAGATTTGTGTTTAGCATCAATTCCAACAGCGATGGGCCCATTAGTTACTAGAGCATTCATTAGGGCTTCTTCATTCCTTGGGACAACCAAAAAGCGGGTGACCTTAACAACAGAACGTTCAGGACGGTACCTGCAGCGTCCTTCCTTCAAAGGGTAAAGAGGCAAGAGACTTGGTTACTTCAATCTACCGTCTAAAGAATGAGTCAAAACCACAACATTCTACACTTTGCAATGGAACACCCCCATATCTGCGCTGTTGTAAATCATCCCAGGAAATGAAATGCTAGTGGGAGACTTGGAAATGAAAATCAGTTCTTCAATGACACCCCATAGGTCTTTCTATCCATAAGAAATTTTCATGGTACATAACTGTGTTATATGTGGAATAGTTTGCACATTCTCCATGTGCATAGAAGCAGGATGGCTACATGGAACCATGGACTCAGACAACTACACAGTGGTGGGTACTGCAATGGCAGCACTGATGGTGTGCAGAGATAGTCTACATTCAGTGTGAGCTATGAAGACAATGAATGATTTCTGCTATTGTCCCTCGCTTCTGCTGAACTGAAATGACAACACAGGAATCCCACTCACCTTGGCTTCATATGGATAGGTGGCCTCAGCCTCCAGACCTCCATTGTTCTTCACATATTGAAAGGCATTATAGATCCTGCCCCCTTTACAGCCCATAGTGCCAAAAGATCTAGAGCAGTCCACTAGGTTCTGTACACTCAGAGGGTTCAGTTTGCCTGTTTTCCTGAACAGCTGTCCTTCTATGGAACCAGCCACAGCAAAAGCCCAACACGCACCACATCCTGCCTGAGAAGGGAAGAAAAGATTGTAATCTACAAAAATGTTAACTGCAACAATAACATTTGATAAATGCCTGGGTAAGAAGTGTTGCTCTCCATGGGGAGATGTTTCATGCTCCAGTGAACAGCCACACAAACACACACATATGCACATATGGCCATGATCTACTGGATACCAGTTGTGATAAATGGCATTAATGGAAGAAATTAAATCTGAAGGGAAATATAGTGGTAGCACTAAGTAGAAGTTTAAGAGTAAATAAGGCATGAAAATGACACTGTGTGTGCATGGCCTCTGTAATTGCTAAGGCATGCATTAGGAATTTGTCATCCCTCAGGAAACCAAGGAGCTTTTGTTACTAGCAACAGAATGCTAAGGTCAGTACCTGTGGCATTTAAGTTACAGAAATGTATTTAGTGAATAGCATGTCATACCACAGTCAAATAACACAAATGTGACAATAGCTTTTTGCATTCCCAGTAGTTGAGGAATATAGCCATGTGATGTTGCCATACCTGTCTTTTCACAGGAGTCACATAGCCTTCCTTTCTCCAATCCAAAGTTTGGGGAATTTTGACACCTCCACGTTTCTGGATGTGTTTCCCATTTCTTAGAGACAGAACTGAATTATCATTCATCATTTTCCTCATTTCTTCGCCAGTCTTTAAAGAAAAGCACATTAAGACTCCATTGAAACAACAAAAGAGAAAAAGCAGAAGCATGTAAAACAATTTGAGTCACACTCACCATGTCCCCAAATTCATTCATATCTACAGTGATGTTGTTTATCCATAGGCTATTCACCCCACTATGGAGTTTGATCATTTTCACATTTTCTTCCCATACTGCTCTCCTCTGTTTTTCTTCCTTCTGGAAATAAACACAAGAGATTTACTTCCCAGTATACCTCTGCCCTAGCTGACCAAGTGGACTTGCTGCTACAGATGTACAGAAATCAGGGCAGCAATGTACACCACTCTTAACATTCTAAAGAACACAGACAGTGTCCAGCTTGTGCTCACCCTGTGTTACATTAATACCTCAGGTAGGGGTGGCCTCTATGGACTATTGTATCTGTGAACCCCCAACAGTAATGAGCATGCCCTGTAAGGACCCTCTTTGTGTGTCCATGTGACCTACTGGGCTGTAGGTTTTCTCATGGCTCCTCTTCCACTGCTCCCACTCAGCATCTAAAGTGTAATCATATGATGGAGCAGCAGAGGCCACTCCCAAGCACAGGATGGCCAGGAAGACAGCAGAAGCCATATCTCAAGCACCTAGAGAGTGAAGAAAAATGAATATTAGACTATACTAACAATCTTGAGAAGTTAAGCCCTCCATGCTAGATAAAAATATTCCTACTACTTTCCCCAATATTCATGCAAAGATTTTAGAAATGGCTAAATATTAGTGTGGACTAGAGATTCTATGGATGACATTTAGTTTTTTTATCAATTGCACAACATGTAGGCAAGCAAAATTGTAGAAATGAAATCTGCCATGTACTGCAAATTTACATGATCAGGAGGATGACCACGGACATAAAGGATCAAAATCTACATAACTGAGGATTTGCAACAGTTATGTGAGGATTTGTAATGATCCAAAATTATCTTATGAGAAGGCATCTGATTCTAAGTACAAAGATTTCCCAGAAGTTGAGGTTACACTATATCATACCACCTTTAAACACAGAATGAGAAATGGGCTTTTTAAAAAACATTCTGGATGTCCTGCTTAGAAAATATTGGCAAAATAAAAAATTTTAGTACTTTATCCAATCATTCAGTTTTGCCACATACTCGTTCACTCAATGAGAAAAAGGGTCAAATGGAAAAACCACTGTAAACCAGAGATACTATGATGATGGCATACTAGATAAAGACTCCCTGAAATCCCAGGATCAATCCTTAAGCAACACTTCCTGTAAGAACTGACAAGTGACCTGTCACTTGCTGCTCCTTCTGCTCATGGCAATTATAATAATAAAAAAAGCATTTATGCAGGAGTGTTGTGCAATACAATGATCTCGGTAGGTTCAGAGTGAAACAAACATGTCCCTGGTGTACATAGTACCACACCTCTCTCTATCTCTCTCTGGACAGAACTAGACTTGCACTGAATTGGAACCTATGCAAACCTGGACCAAGGAGGTATCTGGCTTCCCCACCCATCTTCCGGAGCCTCCACCAAGGAGGGTTCTGAATGTTAAGATATTCTCACTCCTGGGCCTCTGCCTGATTCTCCATGGAGTTTCCCAAGGCTCTCTTCTAGGGTCACTTCCCATTTCTCCTTAGGAGAGTCAGGGCCTCACCTGTGGTGACCACTGCTGTGTTGGTGCAATTCACAGCTCTTCAGAGGTTGCCGAGGTGTCAGGATCTGGCCCAGCACAACTCACTCTGGCTTTAAATCCCAAGTCTCTGGCTAGTCATCCCTCACAATCAACCTTTCCTTTTCTGATTGACACTGGATTGGGCCTCTAGGCTCTTACTGAGATCTGATTTTATCTAACCTGAAGGGGTGGGTGTGGACTTCCTGAATGGACCGTGGGGAGTTGAATTTGTAGACATTTACAAAAGAATTGAGAAAACCAACTTTTATGTCTTGGATCACATAATAGCCTGGCATTTTGTCTCCACAGTAGCTTAAAATGTGGGGTGAGAAGTTCCAAGAAAAGTTCTGTCGGGTATCAGCCTAGCACTTATTTTAAAATAGCAGGTTTGAGTTACCATCATGGAGTGGGCTCAGTTAGAATATTCTAGCCTCGTATTTCATGTTTAATTGAAAGCTGCACTGGGATCCTTTAAGAACATGGACCTTGGCAAATATTGTTACAGTGTCATGAGGAACATAGCTAGGTCTCCGAAGAAGCCTAAGGTTGGATGAGTATCTCCATATAGAAAATGTTGTTCAAGGCCAGAGCTAAAGAGGAAAATGAATGTCCTGGCATTTGCAGTCTCAAACTGCTTGATAGTCTTTTGTTTGGCATTAAATTGAGCATCCATCACAAAGTAACAACAGTCCTGTTAATCATGTCGTTTGGTAACGTCTCTATTACTGAAATTTCTGACATTCACACTTTTAGATAAACATCTCAGTGGCCTTAGGAGCATTATCATTGTTGTGCAAACATCACCTCCAGGAAGATTTAATCTGCTTTCGGGGAAACTGTGAACTCATTAAACAATAAGCCTCTAAACCCTGTCCTCAATCTCAGCATCCCTCACCTTGATTCTCTGTTTAAAAATTTTGCCTGACACCATAGGTGTAGTGTTTAACCTTTCCATTTCATTTTGAATTTAATTTCCACTATAGTAGAATAGAAAGGGCAATAATTAAGAAACAACTTAGTCCACAGAAGTTACTTCCAAAATATCCTATTTACCCAGGTTATGTGATTTTTCTATTACATGAACACACCATATTCTGTTTCTCTATTCATTGTAGAATTTTGTTGTTTCCTTGGACCACAGAAGAAATACATTATACGTATCCATCCCTTAAACCCTACACTAACAAATTTGTATAAAATCTTAACTCAATCAGTGTATTTCTAAATGTGTTCCTAGTTATGACCTAGTGAGTGTCACAGATCTTTTTAGGCAGCATTTTTCTTAGATTTTCTTTACCCAATATAGCACCAGGTGAGTGATCACATTCATCAAACCATGCCCTTGTTCTTCTATAGACTTAGAGATCTTCTCAGATGGTCTCAAGAATCAAGTGTGATCAAGGAATAAGTTTGGTCATATATGACAACTACTCATCATCTATGCACATTTTCTTTTATGTAATGTCATTATCAGTAGCAACACTATCCCTGAGATCTTGCTAGGAAAGCTAATTCATTTTAAAATTTTATTTATATTTTTATTCATTACAATTAATTCACTTTTTATCCCCGCTGCAGCCCCCTCCATCGTCACCTCCCAGTTCCACCCACCCTTCCTTTTCTCCCGCTATGTCCTTTCCCTAGTCCCCTGATAGGGGAGGACCTCCTCCCCTTCTATCTGACCATAGCTTATCAGGTCTCATCAAATCTGGCTGTTTCATCTTCCTCTTTGACCTAGCAAGGCTGCACCCCAGGGAGGCTAATTCTTAAAACTATTGAAAACTGCTGAACCAGAACTTCAGGAAATTGCATCCAGACAGTTAAGTTTTTTCGAGTCCCTAGGTTAATACTTACCTCCATTGAAATTTGAAGCCCTGTGAATAGTGGTTTTAAAAGTGATAGGAAGACCATGTGTAAATATTTCACAACACTTTATTTCTCCATAAATCTTATATTAAAAATAAGAGACATAGCAAGAGAAATGATTTCCAGCAATGCATCATTTCATTGACTGCCAGGTCATCACAGGGATTTTTATACTAGACACAACCCAATGGCAGGTGTGTATACACAGGGATCTCACGGTATAAACATTTTAACTGTCTCTTCTTCCGATTATCATAAAACACCTTGCTTGATTTCTATTTCTAATTATGTTTTTATTTATTTAGTGAGAGGACAGTGTCTCATTACATAGTCCATGCTGCCTTGGAATTTTCAGTGTAAACCAAATTTATCAACTTAGAGAAATATGCTTGCCTCTGTCTACATAGTGGCTAATTAAAGACATATACCACCATACCAGGTGTGCGTGTGTGTTTATCGTGTGTGTGAGCTTATGTGGGTATGTAATATTTTACTAAGTTTTACATAAAACAATGCTTTCATGTCAAAATTCATAGTCTAGTACTTACATCATTTTTAAACTCAATATTATGTTTTCATTAATGCTATCTAGTCCCAGAACATTTTTTTGTAGTTCAGTACAAATAGAATGTCTATTATCCATGCTTCTCTATGTTCCCTTTCTTTCTTTATGTTCTCTCTGATAAACATATATTCTAAAACATCATTAAAATAAAATTATAGCATACTTAACATGATGTGTTTTCTGTTAATTTTTAATATGCCTTTTAAATTTCTTTTTAAATTAGATTTTATTCACCAAAACATAAATAGTAAGTAATATGAACTTGGAAAAATACCATGTCCTCATTACAAAAGCAATAGCTTTGTTATTATTATTTTTTACTTCCAAACTACAAAACAGACAATTCACCATATTCTCAAAGTATTCCTGTTCCACAGGGCTCTTTGAATTATGTTATCCATGAGAATGTACAGAGATTGACATGTGAGTCAGACAGTTGACTTGGTTATCCGTTCTCCATGGTTCTCATTTATATATGTGCATGAACTGAAGCCCAAATAACTCCTATTCCTCCTCTCCATCTGTGCTGTCACTGGGAGACCATTGTCTCTATTTTTCCATGCAGCCTGGAATACCCCTCAGTTTATTGTTGCTGGTGAGGAAACTCCTCAATTTTTTCACATTTATGATTGTTTCTGGCAAGCATATTATTTCATTCCTCTGTGGCCACAATGTATATAAACTTTACATTTGTTTCAGTTCTGTGAGTCCATGTGAGCCCTGTTTGATTCATTTGGCCATGTTTCTCCTAGTATCCCCCTTCTCTTTGGCTTCTACAGTATTTTTTCACCCTCTTCCATAAAGTTCCCCAATCTTTGATGGGAAAGAACCAATGGAGAAATTAAATTTAGACTCTCTATCCACATAATGTCTAACTGTAGGTCTCTGCACCAGTTCCCAGTTGCTACTAGAAAAGAGTTCTTTGATGACAACTGGAAAAAAAATACAGATCCTAGGTCTCTGATCTATCCAGTTTCCAGTTCCTAGCCATCCAGGAAGTATAGAACAAAGTCTCCCTCTCATGGGCCACTTAAAGAAATGCTCAATATCCTTGGCCATGAGGGAAATGCAAATCAGAACTACTTTGAGATTTTATCTTACACCTTTTAGAATTGCTAAGATCAGTAACACAAGTGACAGCTCATGATGGTGAAGATATGGAGCAAGGGGAACACTACTCCATTACTGGTGGGATTGCAAACTTGTACAGCCACTACAAAAATAAGTGTAGAGAGTCCTAATAAAATTGGGAATCATTCTACCTCAAGACCTAATACCATTCTTGGGTTTATACCCAATGGATGCTCCATTCTACCACAAAGCCACTTGTTCAGGTATGTTTTTGGAGCTTTATTCATAATAACCAGAAACTGTAAATAGCGTAGATGTTCCTCAACTGAAGAATGGATGGAAAAACTGGTACATTTACATAATGGATAGTTTTAAAAATGACATCATGAAATTTGAAGGGAAATGGATCCATTTAGAAAAAAATACCACCCT